TGTTTTCTTTAGCTATTTCAAGTAACACAGACTGAGTCCTGACCATGTGTACAGAATTGCATCAGGTCTATGGATAAGAAGTGTTAAATGTGGTCCCTACTCTCAAAGAGTATTGGGGGTGCAAGACATATAGAAATAAACCCATGCATTACATACTGCCTTTACTCCTCTGGGCCAGAAATTCTATTTAGACAACACCTCTAGCTGCCTTTAAAACCTTGAAAAATACAGAAGAATACATGTAACATACTGTAAGCTATGTAATAAAATGAGTAACCATGGGATGAAATGTTAACAACAGTTGAATCTGGGCAAAGGTCATATAGGTGTTCCTTGTACTTTTTTGTATTGTTTGTATTTTTGCGACTTTTCTGTAAATCTAAAATTTTTCCAAAATAAAGTTTACTTAAAAAAAGAAAAACTCTTCAAGATGTAAGTGAAAAAGGCAAAGTGCAATGGTTATTGTTACGAAGGCACAACATGTAACTGGCATCCCAGAAAAATCCAGGGCTGACATTATTTCTTCAGCCTGTACTTTCTACCGCAATGTCTGTAAGAAACTGCTCACCTATTTTACCCAGTCCCCGCACTCAATATTAACTAAAAAACAGCCAACAAAAGAAATTATTACCAGGAAAAGAATTCTGTGTAAACAACAGCCCATAACCAATAACATGGTCAGCTGGGGGAAATGTTTAAAGCAAAGATTAGACTAGTGACAATATTCATGAATAGAGATTGCAATTTTTTAAAAACCCAATAATAAATGAGCAATGAGATACTTTAGGCATTTAAGAAAAATATCTGACTATTGACTCTACTTCTAAATAGACCATCAGAAACTGACAATCAGAGAACTGGAAGAAAACATATAAAATAACAGTTCCCGGCCCGGCCAGCAGGAAGCACAGGGCTAATCTCCGAGCAAACAAATGAGCCGTTTATTGCTGGGGGCGGATTCCAGGCTGCGCACAGGAGTGAGGGGCCCAGGGGTCTGGCTGAGCGGAGGAGACAGAGGCTCTGGAAGCTGCGGTGGCTGTAAGTCGCAGGCAGAGCACCAGAGGTGTAATTAATAAATCAACAATGGAGAGAAAATGAAACCAAAAAATCTTAATTCAAAAGAAAGAAGGAAAAGAGGGAGAAAAAGGAATAAAGACTAGATGGGACAAATAATACTAAGATGGTAGATGTAAACCCAACCAACTTTAGAATTACATCAAATATAAATGGCCTGAACACTTTAATTAAAAGGCAGAGATTATAAGACTGGTTAAAAAATATCAAGACTTAACTACATATTATCTACCAAATACCCATTTTAAATATAAAGACCTAGGTTAAATACAAAAGATTGGAAAAAGCTATCTATAATAATAAAAGTGTAATATGCAAAACGACCGAACAGCAAAACCACCATCTGGACGACCACGCTATGACACGCACTGGCGCCAGGCCAGCCAAGGCGGGTGCAATGCGATTGAAAAATCGCCATGATCGACCCTCAGAGGGAGGCCCAGGCCACCGGCCAGCGGGGCAATTAATCGGGGGGCTCCGAGATTGCCCCGCAGAGGGAGGCCCAGGCCATCCTCTGCAGAGCGATCGATGCGGGGGGAGGGGGGGATGCCCCCACAATTGATTGCCCTGCAGAGGGGGGCCCAGGAGATAGTTTAGATTAGGTCCGCTACTGAGAACATAGTATTTGAGGCTGAAACCCTGAGTCATCACCAGAAATACATGGGGCTACAGCAGCTGCAGGCACTCCTGACCACACCGCCCGCGGAAGGCAGTGCCCAGTCTCACTGAGCTCCTGAGCGAGGCCTCCGGGGAGCGCACGCCGTGCGGCTAGCACAGCACAGCACAGCCTCTGGACTCCACACCCCGCCTGTCAGGTTGCAGTCATTACACATTTGGCCACAATGGGACCATTACTATTGGAAAGGGTACAGAGAACACATTTTTAGAATCACTAATTTTGTAGACTGAAACTTGAGTGTCTAGGAGAGTATATATCGAGTGAAACCAAATGTCTTCACCCAAAATGCAATTACTGGTCAGGTACCAATCCCAAGCACGTAACCCGAGTCCAGGAAGCACTATCCTTTGCAAGAAGCTGAATTATGGGAATCAAAATCATGAGCTCCCATAACGAGAAGTAAGTCACATCCTTAGGCTCCCTGGGACCTGCTTTAAGGAAATTTAGAAATGGGCGCAAAGGTTTAGTTTTCTTTTAATAGACTTTTAAAATGAAACTCTGCTTCCAGAAATGATACATTTTTCTCCTCCAAGCAGCTTGGTTACCCCCTGTATCCCCACCTTAGAGAAAAAGCTTTTCCAGCCGAGATATGCCTGCATTTTGAATCTATTATCGCAAACAATCCTCATTAGCACCCTGATGAAGCAGAGGTCTGTTTATTCCCAACTCACATTTCTTGTTAGGACAGTTTCCTTACTGGAAAAATAAGAAAAGTAAACTAAATACTCTCTATATTTCTCCCAGCCTTCATACTCCATGACTGTACTAAAAGTTCTGGGGTCCATCCTGAGAAGCTTAACATTGTTAAAGACAACTAAGTAATAATTTTAGGCACCAGAAAAGAGTACAAATCACCTCAACCAAGTAAAAATTATTAACGTGCTCAATTGAATGGTGAATGGCTCTGAGAAATCAGGTTAAACCCCAGGCAATTAGGATATAAGATAAAGAATATACTAGGAATTTAGAGGAGAGAGAGAAGGGGAGAGGGACGATGAGGGGGAGGGAGCCAGAGGAAAGACAGAATTTTTTATTAACCAAAACTAAGCTGGTAATTAACACAGAAATGATAACTCGGTTCCATTGGTTCCTCTAGGAAAGTGGAATAAATGTACAGACACACACCTGGAGTCGCTGAACCAGGCGTCTTTTCCTCTGAGCAGAGCATTAAACAGGGCTCAGATGGCTGGCCATGAACAATTTCTGGCAGCTAAGTTTAAAATTACTAATCGGTGAGTTATACAGACTTTAAAATCAATTCTTCTAAGAAAAGCTTCAATGCGACAGTTTCAGGGCAGCATCAGCAGTGCCCACATTTCGGTGGCCTTGAGCACGGAAGCCATTAGAAAAGATGAAAACCCAATTGACCTTGAGTCCGGCTAGTTCCGAAACTCAGGGCTGGTGCTACGCTCTTCCCAGACGTGAGGCCTCCTGAGGGTCAGGTGCACCTTATACCCCGGCCTTCCTCCCGACTCCGGCCACGCTCCACCACGTCGCTGACAAGCAGCTGGGGCCTGGAGTGCCGCCTGCAAGAGCAGACGGGTCCTCTGTCCCCAGTCCTTTAAGTCAGAGACCGCAGCCCTGCCCAGGCTGAGAGGTAGACTAGGGCCTCCCACAAGGTGCACCCTGCCGCAGGCTGCTCCAGCCAGCCGCCTGTGCCTCCTGCAGACGCAGGTACGCGTC